AATGCTCCAGAGATATGACCTAGTTCAGTACCTGGCATACGGTAGGTGTTGGATAAATGTTCATTATAATTCTTTCTCTATATCCTACCCAGCTGACAGAGTAATAAGAATAAATCAGGATCTTGGAAAAAAAACATTTAGTTCTTTAATTTTGAGGGATATCTTAGAGAGGTTACTTACTCACTGGAAATGCTTTGGAGATGGAAGAACAAATAAAGGCCTTCTAGGCAGAGGGATGGCAGGAGGAAAAGCATGAAGTGTGAATGTGTAGAATGTAGCATATGCTCAGAACTGTGAGGACTCTGACCCACTAGGACTAGAGGTTGGAAACAAGGTTAGACAAGTAGAATGAACCAGATGGTACAGAACCTGAAGTACCACTCAGTCAAAGTGTAAGGAATGGATGCCTTGTGTTACTAACACAACAACCCAACCCTTAACCCCTCTCTCTGGTGTATTTAAGAACATTAAACAACAATTAAAATCAAGACATTTTCTCTTCGCTTAAGAGCAATCATTTGACAAATACAAGTCACAAGGGATGCTTCTTCTCACAGTAACAAAATTATTTCATTCTCATTTTTTCTTTCAAAAGCCAAGGCTTACTGATTTGAACCAGGTGCCTTATTGTACCCATGCAGGCATTCTAGCTGGCAGAGAGTTTGAGGCCTATTTCACCAGTTCTATTCTTCCTTTTCGAACACTAACAGGTTTGACAGGAATATGAGTAGGTGGAAAACATAATGTTTCCAATTGAAGTTCACAAGCAAGTCTCCAGTAGAGTCATTTTAGAGATTAAAGAAAGGATCATTTGAACACATGAATTTGAATGTGATTTATAGATTACTTCCAGAGACATACAGTTGCTTATCTCTCAGACAGCTGTGAGAATAGACAGTTAGAAGTCACACAGGAGGTATGTAGTCCCTAGAAAGAAAAAAAATTAAATCTTAAAGTGGCTGATGCAGCAATTAATATTTCAACCTTCCTTGTCCAAGGAAGAAAAGAGTAAGATTACAGGGATGTTGGATTCCCATGAATATGTGATTTCAGACTTGCAGGGAAAAATGCCTAATTATGTATTACAAACCCAGACCCCTTGGGCACTAATGGGCTATTTTTAAATGTTAAAAAAAAACTGTTGAGACCAAAAAACTTTATTTTTTATCAAGATTTCAGTAGCATAATCCTAGTGCATTCATAAGTAAAGATATGAAAAGAAGCAATGCGCAGTCAAGTTTCTCATGACGGTGGATTTTCCTTGTTTAAATTTATCAACAAGTATTCAGTAACTAGCTGTGATGCTAGTAGACCACATTCTCTCACCCACTAAACCTCCCCCCGACACACACACACTCTTACATAAATACACAAGAAAAAAAGACATGTGGCTCAGTCCTGGAAAGGTTTTATCATCATTTTAGGAATAGAAAGCAAACAGACAAAAGCTATGAAAATGCCTTATGCATTCACTTCACCAGACTTGAGGTGCTTCTGGAGTTTCAGAAATAAAGACTTTAAGGGAGCTAAAGAAGTCAAAAGAAGCTTCAGAGAAAAATTGCAAAGGCATCTGGGCCTTTGAGGTGGATGGCAAAGGAAGGGTCTACAAAGAAATGAATAAGTTATATGTTTGGCCAAAGGGAAGAAGCCATTTAAATGAAACATGGGCATTTTTAAGCTCATCAGGCACTCCACCACTTCCTTACACACATTCTCAAAAATGACCTTCTCCCTTGCATTTCTAGCTGATAGACATAGCAAGTGCAGTACCTCCCCATCTACTGAGGTCATACTAACACATTGACATGATAGGAAAAAAAATCTTTTTTCTTGATGAAGTCAAATACCAAAAAAAAAAACCAGTCATCCCCAGAAATAATGAGAAAATCTTACAAAATGTAAAGCAGCTAGGATAAGATCGATGAAGAATAAGGGTTGGGAAAGCCACAGTTTAAAAGACAAACAAGCAAAGGAGTTCTTCCCAAGTGTATGACAGAGCCTGAAAAAGCAGAGGATTCATTATCAGGGTAATAAACTAGCGAATTACAATCGGAATCATAGTCTTTCTTTTTTTGAGTTGGAGTCTTACTCTGTCACCCAGACTGGAGTGCAGTGGCCACTCCCGGCCACTGCAGCCTCGACTTGCTGGGCTCCAGTGATCCTTCCACCTCAGCCTTCCAAGTAGCCAGAACTACAGGCGCATGCTACCACGCCCAGCTAATTTTTTTTTTTATTATTGTAGAGATGAGGTCTCACCAAGTTACCTAGGCGGGTCTCAAACCCCCAGGCTCAGGCAATTCACTCACCTCGGCCTCCCAAAGCACAGGATTACATGCTGAGCCACCGAGCCGGCCCAGAATCATAGTATTAACCAGGCCTTTGCTGTGGCCTCAGGTTTACAGAGCCTGTGAGAGTGGCAGCAGCATTTTATGCCCTCAGAATAAAAAGAATGACAACTTCTCTCTAGGAATGTTAGAAATGTGGCCAGAAAGGGAGTTAACATAAGAGATAGAGCCTGAAAGACCTTGGATAAATGACTGTAGACTTCCACATGGGAGATAGGAGAAACTAGCTGTATTTAAGAGTAATATACTAAAGTTCTCTAGCCCTAGAGTAGATGTAGGTTACTTTGGAGATTGTAAGTGGTTCCTCAACCTACATATCTTTGTGTATGGACCCTATGGGGAAATTCGTTACTACAATCACCTTTTTTGAGTGCCAATAGGATATCCCAACTAATACAATCACCTTTTTGGAGCACCATTAAGATATCCCAACCAAGTAGTCTATTTAGGAAACAGAATTTTTAAAACTGCAGAGAAAACCTCATATAAGCTATTTATATATATCAAACCATTCCATTATTAATCAAAATCACAAAATATCTGAGGAAATCAATTTTTATTTTAAAAAAGATTAACCCAATATGACATCAGAAGAAATAGAAATGATTCATAAAAATAAAAATAACTTGTTTAATATTTTAAGATTTCTTTAGAGATATTTGAGTAGATGTTGCATATACATTAAAATAAATAAACAGATCATAATTGCTACTATGAAATAAGTGTAATCAGAGTACATGAAAAATTTTCTGGAAATTAAAAATATGATTATCAATTTTTTAAAAAAATCAATATATAGAATAGATAATTACAAAAAATAAAATTAAAGATTGAATAAGTAGAGAAAACTTCTCATGAAAAAGAGCAAAAGTGAAGAGATAGAAAACATGAGATTATGGAAGACAGAGTCAGGAAACCAACATATATCCAATGAGTCCTAGAAACTGAAACTAGGGACAATAGAGAGGAGAACATAATCAAAGAAATAATAGAGGGGGGAAACTCCCAGAGGTAAAGAAAGAGATCATTCTTAATAATGAAAAGATCTACTAAGTTAAAAAGCAAAGTGAATAGAACAACACACAAATCAACAAATTTTGATGAAAATTCAAAATTCCTAAAAATTATCATAGACAAGAACGTTTTTATAAAGTAACAACATCAGAATGATAGCATAGCTCTCAACAGCAATAAGGGCACAATTCCTTCAACGTTCTGAGGAAAATGTTTGAAATTAGAAATGTAGACCCAGCCAAACTGTCAATCAAAAGTAATGTCAAAATAAAGGCAATTTTAGTTATTCAAAGAAAAAAAATTTTTTTTTAATTTTTTATTTTATTTTATTTTATTTTTTGAATTGGAGTCTCACTCTGTCGCTCAGTGGCACACTCCCGGCCACGGTAGCCTCGATCCGCTGGGCTCTGGCGATCCTTCTGCCTCAGCCTCCCAAGTAGCTGGAACTACAGGCACGCGCTACCACGCCCAGCTAATTTTTTATTTATTGTGGAGATGAGGTCTCGCCAAGTTGCCCAGGTGGGGTCTCGAACCCGCGGGCCTAGGCAATTCACTCACCTCAGCCTCCCAAAGCATGGGATTACAGGCTGAGCCACCGAGCCCGGCTTAATTTTTATTTTAAAGATGTGAGGTACAATTCAGGATTAGGTATACAAATGTTCATTATGTAGGTGCCCTTGTTGATGAGGTGTGCTGGCTCCCCAACCCAAGTTTCTCCCAATGGGGATAAATTGCCCTGAGTAGGATGACCAACCCTCCCAGTTTTCCCAGGACTGTCCTGGTTTTAGCACTTCAAATTGTATTCTAAGCAACCCCTCATTGCCAAGCAAACTAGGACTCTTGGTTATTCGAGAATCAGCCCTTAGTTTCCAACATTACAGATTTATTTAAATTGAATCAAAAGTGAGTTTACTGTGATTTAAGGAAATGGTATTCCCACTTTTCAGATGGCAAATTGAGGCACCAAAAGGCTCAATGATTACTAAAGGCCATATACACAAAGAAAGTGGCAGAGCCAGGATTCAATCTCAGGTCTGTTTTTATCTAGTGCTACACTCTGCTCCTTGCCCCATGTTTCTTCACACAGATGGGCATGCACACACACGTAGTAGGACGGGCATACTGAAGAATTCTGGCTCCCTGTGTGCAAAAGTGACTAAAGAAGGAACAGGGGACCTTGAGCTTACTGGCATTCTGATTCAACTCAATAAACCAGGCAGCCCTGTGTTGTGAGAATAAGGCAATATCTATATTCAGCCTTAAAGACTCACAGAACAGCTTGTGGGTTCTGATGAACTTTCATTTAATTAGACAGGTCCTCAATATTTTTTTCTCTAAATTGAGACATTAAGAAAAAAGTATAGACTCTACAAAACAGACAGAGAAGAGATATGGGAGAAAATGAGATAGGAGAGAAAGAAAGGAGCAAGAGAAATGATGAAAGAGGTAGACAATGGAAGGAAAGAAAGAAAAAGAAGAACTAGACCTGCGTGGTGAGAAACTAGAACAGATAAATGAAAAACGACAGTACAGAAAGTCATGGAGAGCTCAATTAATTAGTTATTGTCCATTTCCTTGAGAGACCTCTAACAAATCTGTCCTTGTCAGTGACAGGAAATCTTTTTGAATTCTTTGTAAAAGGATATTAATGGCTGCTGCAAGCTTCAGCACCCCTTCACTGTGATGCTACAATGCAAGGAGGTAGTAGGAGTTCCTCTAGGTCATACCAGGAACCAGCTTGGTGCAGGTACGACTTCTCTCATGTGCACACAAAGATACTTCTCCAGCCCACAGATTGTCAACCCTCTATCCTTGACTGGTACATCGGAGGCTGACATTTAATACCCTGAGGATATAGATGTTTGAAAGCTGGTTATTGTAACAAAGGAAGCCATCCAAACTCTGCAAGACCAAATGGATCAGATAAAGCTGACACAGAGATAAATCTGTTTTACATTCATTCTTGCACAAGCTTTGCTAATCTATGTAGTTATAGCTTCCCACTGAAGGAGAAAAAATAGCCCACCACATGTCGTCAAGTCCACATCGCGTTCCTATTTTTAATCTCCAAGGTATAACATTTTGGGCAAAGACCATTTTTATGCTGACTTTTGCCTGAACTCCATTCACGTAGGATGACACAGGAAGAAAATGAGAAAGGAGGATGAGAGAGAGTGGGAAGAGAAAGAAGGAAAGAGGATTTCTTCTTGAATGGCTGTGTAAATGCAGATTTTGTTTTAAATGAATGAATTCTGCTCCATCATTGACACAGGATCGCTTCTCTCCCAGGCAGTCAGACATCTACTCTTCATTAGCCAGTATTTATGCTGCCAGATTGGACTTTCATATGGGAGCCTGAAGCAGGAATGGTGCAGATGGCAGGAAAGCTCTCATGAGATTGATAACGATGAAGAAAGATGCCACATTAAGTCAGAAGGTGCCACTGTTAACATCCCAGCTTGGAGGAGAATATTTCTAGCTAGCACACCCCTCCAAGGACTGTTTCTCTTCCAGCTTCAACTAAAATTCATCTCCTCCCCCAAAGCTCTCTGCCCCACCCTCTTGCTGGCAAGTGAGGGTTACATGACTTTCCTCTCTTTTGTGTGTCAACTCTTTTTGCCTCAGGTACTTAACCTTTGCTTTCCAAAGGTGGTGAGATCCTAGCTGTGGAGAGGAACTGGAGGGAGGGGGAAGGGAGGGAGAAGGCACTTTAGTCCTTGTTTCCCTTAACAAAGGCACCACTATAAGAAGTTTCGTGCAGGAAACCTGAATGGTATTTATTGTTTCAATTCAGGCCCTCATTGCATCTGCTGCCTTTCAAAGACAGATGCTGTGTTCATAAAACCAGAGCCCTGCCTCAAAGGACTTCGAGAAAGGGCAATCTCCAGGGTGTAGGACTGAGGGTTTAGGAAAGTCAACACCACCAGAGGATCTGTAGTGTGAGATGTTTGCTGCTGGGATGGAAGAACAAAGCTTCCTAGCTTCTGATTCGCAAGGGAGGGAGCAAGACTCATTTGTACCTTTAGTTTCTGGCTAAACAAATAAGTTCCTCATTCAAGGAACATGGCTTGTGTGGAGTTTGAGCTTTTCCACTGGAGAAGAATAAAAGAATCCACTACATTTCAGGAGGGGGAAAAGGGCAATATCTTGTTCTGATTTTGATCTCCATGGTCCTGCCCACTGATTTTTCTGGCCAGTGACAGACCTTCTGCTTAGACCAAACTTGAGTGAGGCTCCTCTGAGTCCTTTCTGACTAGGCTCAACCTTGGGCTTCCCTCTCTGTCTTCTAGAATCCAGTTTGAGAAACAATCCTGCTAAGTCAGTTTAGTGAAAATTCCCATCCTTTATTTCTGACCATCCTCTATATCTTATCATCCTGGTCTGCCTTTAGCAAGAAATTGTTGAATCAGCAGTCAATCAAGAATCCCCCAAACCCCTCATGTTTTCCTCTTAGCCATTTTCCATCCACTGACCACACCCTGAACTCTGCTCCACTGTATGGCTATACAGCCCCACTTGTCTTTGTTAGAGCCAGAGTTAAGCCCAATCTTTCTCCCCCACTGCAAGACCCCATTGCAGTGAGTCCTATACCTATCACCACGGCCCCTCTTGAATAGTCTGCCATCTTTAACAAGTGCCATGAATAAATTTTTGTCTTTCACACCACAAATGTATCTTTGGCATTAAAGCAGGGAATGAGTTATCTACTCCTCTTGACATCCCAGTCTCCCTGGGTGGCAACCTGACACCAGGCCAGGAAATAAGAGTGGATGAAAAGTTCTCCAGCCCCCCACTGCATCAGACAGAGAAAGCCTTCCCTTGTTCAGAAAGAGTCACCCAGAAACCAAACCAACAGACAAAATGTGACATAGTGAAACTTGCAAACTTAGCAAATTTGGAAAATTTGACTGCTCTCACCTAACCTGAGTGATATATTATCAGAGTCCATCCTAGAAAATGCAGACTGGAAAACAAAGGGAGACCACATCAAGGGCCCCTGTATAGCAATCACAAATTCATGGCAGTGTGTAAGCATTTAATTAGCTTCCCAGGCTTGCAGGAACTCCATTCAATTTAAGACACTCTAGGTGGCTCCTCCTGGACCACGCCAGCCCTCTTGGAAGCCTGGACGTAGAATGCCTACCACCAGGGAACGGTATTTGGAGAGTCTTAATTGAAGGGAATTCCTATTTTTATGTCTAGATGATGTACCATCAGCATTTCCTCCCCCACAAAAATACACAGAGGGGCAACTAGTCCAAATAACTGGTTTAAATCTGTAAATTACAGCACTGCTTCAAGGAACTTTTAAGGTCGTTTTGTGTCTACGGAAAAGTTAGATGGCATCATAAAATTTTTAGAGCTAATGTAATCTTTATACAGTGGATTCATCTCCACTGATGAGATGTGTTTGGGGTGCCACCTTTCTCTCCCCTTCTTTGGGCTTTCCTTGAGTCCTGAAAGAGAATTACTGCTCCAGGAGCATTCATGCCATGACTACACAAACACCTCTTCCTCCCTTCAGGACGCAAGGTCTCAGAACCTAGGTCTTCATTTTAGTTGCCTCTACCAAGAGAAGGGATTGCTAAACATGGTTAATTTTCTGAGTTGGTTGCATTTCTGCCATGGAATCTAATACTCTCTTACATCTCCTGTGTATATTTCTTCTTGGCGCTTCAGTCTTTAGTGACCTTCTCATACCATTTCATTAAATGCCCTCCGCCTCGGTAAATTACAGTACTTTGAAGCCTTAGAGTTTAGCATATAAAAAAGCAAGCATCTCTACATACTGCCCTGGGATAAGGTGTGATGAAAATCCCATACAAGCTGAACTGTACTTCCTAATCAAATGGGTGTAACAGATGGCTGTTGGAGCAAACCATCACAATGGAAATATCTGCAGTTCTCATGGTAACGGAATCTGCCAGGTCTGAGGGATTTGCTGTTTTTCAGGACATCTGAGCTGCAATCTCTTTCGAGCTGTCTAGCAGTCTCCGTCTCGCTCTCTCTCACTCTCTCAGCATGATGGAGATAGAGTTGAAAGGTGGAGCCCGATTTTGCATTCCAGCTGTGATTAAAGACACAGGCACACATCCTGGGAGATAATACGCTGCATATTCATTATGCTATCTAGAACCTCTTTAGCTACTGGGACATGACTATCATACAATTACAATATGCCTTCTCCAGAAGGAAAGGGGGGTTGGGATGAAGAAGATCAGAGAACGACAGTGAGGGACAATATGAGGAATTAAGATGCATGAGACGTACCTTGTAATAAAGATATGGAGCAATATTAAAACGAGCAGTTGTTTCCATTTCGTGGCAACATGTCAAGATGACTTAACATAGCAGGATAAAACATCTGGCCTGGGGAAAAAAAATACATGATGTCAAATTTCCAAATCATAATGTAGACTATGTGGAAGAAAAACAATAGATAAGCAACTGTGTACCTTCCCAATAAGTGAAAGCACGTGGAAGATTTCTTTATACTCTGCCATCGGAAAGGAGATCCATTTCATGAGGTGGAGGTTAGTATATAGACATTGAGCTTTCATTATAAATCTAAGGTTTGAGTTTAAACCCTCAGGACTGCATTAGGAAAAGGGTTTTTTTGTTTTTTGTTTTTTTTTTTTTCTCGTGCTATTCATAACCTTCTGATTTTACAGCAATGCTTGGAAGGGGGAAAATAATCAGTCACAATTCTATTTTATTAAAGTCTTTTCCTCCAAATCCCTATCGATTTAAAGAAATAAGGAAAAGTATACTGTCTTCTTTGCTATAGTACCTGCTAGCAAACACACACACACACACACACACAGGGTTGATTCACAGCTGCCTGGTCCCTTGAGTATTTGAGCTTGAAGATCAGACAACATATAAGAATTCAGCCATGACTCAAAATGGAAACAAAGAAGACCATTCTTAGCAAACCCGGCAACGTGAAATGAAAAACTACAGGCTGTAGGCTGGAGCCCCTAGCATGCTTACCCACCCCATTGTCCTTGAGGGCACTACTGTTAAATACATATGACAGCCAAAGAGATGAGGAGAATAGTTTCCAGAAAGCAATGATTGGATCTCCCTTTTCATGAGGTAGAATAGGCAGGACTATGTAAGCCTGTAAAGTAGCTCTTGAGAACAGGCCCTGGGAGGCAGCATTGTCTCCCTCTCATACGGCGCCTGAAGAACATATATTATATAACCTTTCTCCAAAGCCAGCCCTGCTTTGACTGGGACCCTCTTCCTTTAGAAGCCTGCTAATAACAACTTGCGGATGACGGTCTCTGCCTTAACAAGCCGGATTAGTTAGTTTAAAGCAATGAACTGAGGCCATTTGTGCAGATGCTAATCAAAAAGGAGAAAAAGGAAAAAATTAGAAAAGACCCATGCGCTCCATCTCTTGTAAGTACAATATAGATAAAGCCCAGGGCCACATCTGTGAGCTGACCTCTAAGGCACACAAAGGTCTCTGGGGCAGTGGGGTTATAAAAGGAGGGAAGACGGTTTGTATAGGGCCAGGAGCAGACAACAGTGGCTCTGAAAGGGCAGTTACCGGGGGACTGTCTAAAGCTTTTTTTTTCCCTTGGAAATTTTTCTTTATTTGTCCCCCATGAGGTATTTGCTTTTGCTTCACAAACACCTCCCAGTTCCTAGCACAGAGCCTGGCACATAGTATAGGTATATATTAAATGTTTGAAGGATGGTAGCATGATGGATGGAAGAGTAGATGGATAGGGAAAGACGTAAAAATATCAAAATGTCAAAAACAAACATACAAATTCCACAAATATGTGACTGCCCTCTCCTCATTACACCAGGAACAAAAATAAAATTGTATAAAAAAAAATAGAGCATTGGAAAGATGCTCTGTGTCTTTGGAGATCAGCGGTCAGATTGATTGTTAACATTCAACCATGACTGGCACCTTAAAATATACACACAGAAAGGAAAGCTACTCATCTGATGATTCAGACTTAGAATACTGCAGAAGATTTAAGTCCATTAAAAAAAATAATCTGTCATTTCATCAGCTTGTCTGAGAGGTCACTTCTTTCTACACCACAACTAGGAAACTGACTCATGAAGGAAGGAATCTTTAGTTTCCTTTCAAACATACTGAGAATAACATAATACGTACTCTATTACATATTGTATCTGAGTGTGTAATCAGTGAGAGAGAGAAAAACAACACACACACACACACACACACACACACACACACACACAGAGATCTTCTACTGGCTTCTTAAATTTTAACTGCCTTCAGAGTGCGTGGTGTTGTTTCAGGAATTCTCCAAGTCAAATGTCTGCTGGAATGCTAACCTCCTAAGAAGCTCAGGGCATCCTGCTGAGATCATTCAGTTAGAAGACATTCAACTGCCCTACAAGTTAGAGAAGGGTAAGTTTGAGAACTGGAATGATTCTTAAAGTGCAAAACATAAAAGCTGTCTCTCTGAGCAACCCTCATCTCTAACACTCACAACACAGAATATTTTTATATATGAAGGTTGTAGTCAACCTCAAAAAGACACATATATAACTTCAAAATGTTCTTCTATAATTTACAGATATTTCAAATTTTAAAAAATAAGCTCTTTACATATATATTCAGTTCATATTGTCTCTCAGTCATAGAGAATTTTTGGTTTACTATCAATGATTGTTTCATTATCTCATGTCTCTGTCACCTAAAATGGAGGAATGGGATTTTCTAAACACAGTGTTGCTACGGTGAAAAAGTTTTAGGATCAGGATTGTTTCAGAACTTGCCTAATTCCCTGAAGTGTTCAAAGCCCAGGTAAGAGAGTCAGACCTGTTCTTTCAAAGGAGCTCTTTTATTGCCAACCTTCTCTAAGATAGATCTCAAGAACTTAACTGGAATATTTTGCTGCAGTTGATTTCATCAAACCTGAGTAGGAAACCTACTGCACATTAACATACATTCAAGGATCTGGGGAAATTTAAAATAAGTCAGAACCTTCTTGCCCTCAAAGAGTTTGCCATCAAGCTGACAGTTAAGACAAGATTACAAATGGTTATAACATAAAGCAGTACAAGATAACACCACAAAACATATATATATTCAAGTACTCTTCAAAGTCAAAGGAAGGCTTATAAAAGGCACTATTAAAATCGGAAAATTTGATGAGCTTTGAAGGATATGAAAGATTTCAGCAGACTAAGGCATGGGCAAGGACATTCCAAACAGAGGAAATAACATGAACACTTGAGGCAGAAAAATGTTGAGACTAGTTTGGGCACACTAGAAGAGACTTGTTTGGCTAAGAAAAGGAAAGTAAAGGGAAATAAAACTGGGGTCATATTAGAGGAAATGGTATTTAATCACAGGAGCATTTGGGAGCCGCTGACCATCATTGAGCAAAGGGGCATTTTAATTGGGAATTGCAGCTTCCCTCTGGTCACAAAACACCTCACTTTGTGAGGTTTCCAAGGATGCCCCAGGCAAGCAATGGTCCCAAGGGTGCATTATGGGGGGGGGGGCCCAATTTGCATGAAACACCCTTTTGCCTACTGAAAGTATGACCTTTTAAGAGTCAAAACAGCAAGATGTAAAACCTGTCCTGTTCTGCGTGTCTTTGGAAATAAATAAACCTTTTCTATTTCAATATTTGGCATCCTGACAAGACCTAAGAGGAACTAGAGAGATAATTAATAAGGGCATGAGGGGAAAGTGCAATTAAAAATGGCAAAGACTACTTCGCAAGTAAGTGCTTCATACTGAGAAAGATTATTACTGCGATCTCCAGCTTCAAACCTGAAATCAAATCACTCTGAATGGATAATTTGAACATTATTAGTGGGGGAAAAGCCATCATGGTTCCTAGCCTCTAAATTACAGGAGAAACAAGATTTTATTCTGACCTCACCTTTCTGTCAGTTTAAATCAACAAAATAATCACAGCTTAGTCCCAGTTGGCATAACTCTCCATAACCTCAAGTTTTAATGCTGTTCTTCAGTTTCTTAACCAGAAGAGGAAGTTAGATTGAGAATGCCTCAAGAAGAATCTTTTCCAGGGAACTTAAAAAAAAAAAAAGTCTCCTAGGAGACAAGAAAGACAAACTCCCTTTATCTGAATAAGGGCCTTTGTTAGAAATAAAATCTAGCTGGAGCAAATGTGAAAGCACAAACCAACCCCACAAGGCCTGGAGATGTTTGAACCTCTGGCCCAGTTTACAGGGCCAGTTTAAAGTACTGATGTCTCCTGTCTAAAAAGTAGTCCACTCATAGGAGAACTTTCAGCTTCTGCCTTTTGGAGTGGAATGATTCTAAACTGAATCATTTTCTGAAATTTAATTTCATAGCTGAATGCAAAGTATAGGAAGATAAGGTCACAGGGACATGAATCTATCTCCAGAAAGCGATCACACTCCCTGGGCTGCCATAAGTGGAGATTTAATTGGACACAGTAGGTTTTGCTATTGTTGCAACATGGAAATAAATTATTTTTTAAATGGCCAATGACCATTGCCAGCTCAGCAGGCATAGTGATCAGACAAGAGTTTGACTTCCAATTATTGCTTGAGATAGAAAGAATTGCTTACACCAATTTTGGATGGTTTTGAATGTCATTATTTCATCATCATCATTGTCATCCTGCCATATATTTGTCTAGTAATCTTAAAAAGGGACAGTGGCCAGAAAGGAATACTATACACAGCCCATGTTCTCTTTATCTTAGGTTAAAGAATTCCACTGAAATTAAAATGGGATGAACAGCTCTTGACCATCATTCCTGCTCAAAAAACTTGACTCATCTTCAAGTCAGGGGCCTGCAAATTATAACTGCAGTCTAAATCTAGTACTCTGCCTATTTTGTAAATAAGGCTTTATTGGAACACAGCCATGCTTATTCATTTGTATATTTTCTATAGCTGCTTTTACACTACAGAGTTCAGTAGTTAATGACAGAAGCTATGTGGCCTGCAAAACTTAAAATATTTACTTTCTAACTCTTCACTTAGTCAACCTCTTCTTGAAGCCATCATCATCACCTCTTCCATTTGTAGAGGTCATGGAGTGTCTCAGGGTTTTAACACATCTCATCTGATAACACCATTCTGATACGTAAAGACGGAGACAATTGCAGTGACCAGAGACACCTGAGACCAGTGTTGCTTCTCCATGGGAGATTCAGACTTGACACTCCCTTAATCATTGGACAATCCAGGTAAGGTTGTCACTCTGCATGCAGAGTGAGGACCAGCTCTCTTGGTTGTCAGCAAGAATGAGAAGTATTGAGCTTGAACTATAGACTGGGATGATTCATTAGGATATGACAGTGAGGGTTGTTAAAGTTAGAAATTGCTTATTAAACCACCTTGTATGTAATACATTTGTAACTGTACAAATTCTCATCCATCTGGATTGGAAATATGCAAATGCAGAAACATCTGAGTTGAATAATACCTTGATCAGATTCTTGGAAACTGCAGTAGTAGGATAAAATTTTGGAGATAATGTATAGCCTAGACTCAGACTTGAGTTCAAATTTAGATACCCATTAGCTGTGCATTTTTGGACAAATATCTTATCCTTTCTAAATTTCCATTTCGTCATCTCCAAAACAGAAATGTCAACATATAAAATTTACTTTTTAGGATTGTTGCAGAAATTAAGTGAAATAATTCCTGAATTATACCTAGCACAGTATGGTAGATGCTCAAAAAATGGCAGTGGTAACGACTATCACTGTGTTTGGCTTCAAGAAGGCAAGAGAGATGCTTCCTAACAAAGGCTGATTTAAATGTCCTCAGTAAATCGGGCTAATACTCCCAAAATGATTTAATTTTGTATTCAACTTGCTTTTGATATTAAGCTTAAAATATTATAGCTTGTGTTTTTACATCACTCCTCCTACCAAAGCTTTTTAATGAACTCAACATCTCTGTGTCTGAAGTATGGTATAAGGGTCAGGTATTTGCCCATTGTACAGATGAAGAAAGTAAAATTATACCCAGCTAATGAATTAAGCTAAGACCCTAGCTCTATTACCTCATGGCTTATGGTGCGTAGTAAGTACTATTACCCTGGACTTTATGTAATGATCTCTCAAAAGTCAACCCTAATATCCTGGGAAAGGCATGGATCCCAGTTTAAAAGTTACAGTGGAAGGAATGAAATCCAGGGCAGAAGATGCTGGGAAAGAAGGGAAGGCACTCAAGAAAGCAAGACCCTAGCAGAATGATGATGCTTCAGAATTCAGACAAATGCAGCAGTATGCCTTTAAAAAGGACCATGTCTACACTTCTATATTGCTTACTAGCTGAAGCTAAGCCAGAGGGATGTACATAGTGAGATCTTTGTCTCATTTCAGGAAGGATACAGGATAAAGATTCTGTGCCAGTAATCTTCCTTGGATTAATGGTTTCTCTTTTATCTGCTGTATTTCTGCTCAGATGTCTTTTCTCTGAATGAGTCGGAGGAATGCAAATGCTGAGCGCAGTCCGCCTGAAATATTTAAATCTAGTTTTGCAGGTTTAGAGGGAAAAATTACACACACACACACACACACACACACTTACATATGATGAAGGAATGGCAGACGAGAATTACAGATACATCAGCCAGCAACACAAAAATGTGGTATTTCAATTTGACAACAAACTCATTTTTCTTTTTCCATTTCTTTGTTTCTCCAGATCAACACTCAGATGTTTGATGTGAGTGGAAAGAATCTGCAACGTGCTTTTGTGAGACTCGGAATCTCATCAAGAATGTACCTCACTACATGGCAAACTGATTTTATTTTGGCTCCTAAATGACAAGGCTTCATTCAGCAATGAGCACACCTCCCCCAAGGAAGCATTCTCTACACCCTGATAGAGAAAAGGTGAGACAAGTTGGGCAGCTGGGCATGGTTTGGGTTCATTTTCCTGATTTCTCCTTTTACCGATCCACTCTGACCTCTTTGTTCTTGTGTTCAGTCATAGACTTGCAGACAGTGTCTCACTATTGTGACTAAGAGGGCTTCCTCTAAAAGGAAACCTGAATGGCATTAATATTCAAATCCTCCTGCTTGGTCTGCAGTGGCCTGATGGAGCTTGCACAGAGCTCCGAGGCTGCAAGGGAACAAATCTTGGAAAATACAGCTGAGTAAATTGGGGTTTAGCTTCTGTCCCCATGTGCAGTACTTAACATGAAACCCTTATAATGAAAGGTCTCTTCCAAAGGCTTTTATTGCTGCAAGAAAGAGTTCCTACAATGTGAACCCAAGGACAGAAGGAGGCTTTCTTATTTTCCTTTCCACCTCATGTGAAAGAATAATCTCATGCCTTCAGGACAAAGCCTTCTTTAGACAACAAAGTGAAATGCTTTCAACGTCCATGAACATCTCCCAACATCAATGAGATTGCTATTCACAGATGAAAAGGGGGAAA